TACATGCTTTTTTTTTTTTTTAATGATATGTGCTTTTAATTACCTTTCTTTGCTAGCAAATTCATAATTTATTGATTTTCTAGAACAAGTTCGAGTCCATATTAGATAACCATAAGATCCCTTGTGGCATCCCAAGTGGCATGCCATGTCATCAATTAAGCCAAAGCTCATTGAATCTCTTCCAAATAGTATTCACGCTCATGAATTTTCATGGTACATTAGGATGTGCACTTAGGCCTAATATCAAGGTTGTAACACAATTTATCTTCTCCAAGTGCATATTTATGTATTGGGCTTTCAATACGGTGACTTAGGTGCCCAAAACATATTATAAACTATTGATTACGTTTACAAATTTCTTTTATTCGGGCTTTCTTGTACCTGGACGACTTGATGTTGATGACATAACACGCCATTAACATAGGATCTCATCAGCACTAGAAAATATTAGTCTTTGTTATTAGTAGAAGGTAATCCTAATAAAAAGTGTTAATGGTTTTTAAAAAGCATCATGTTTACTAATTATTAATCATTAAGTATTACTCACTAATTAGATATTGGTATGTTGTTGGGCTCCTTGGCTGTTATTATTGTGGGATCCCATAATATTGTATTTTGACAGGTTTTATATAATTATTGTGAAAGTTGTGTTGGAAATCGGGAATATTACAACATCCATGTAGGACTGGTTTTGAAAAATATTACATGTAGTAGTTATTACTAATTATTAAATGTCATCAAATATATTTTTTTAATTTAAAAACAAATGTCATCTAATATAAAAATATTTTTTTGAATTCTAATAAATAATAATTTTTATCAAATGTTAATTGCATTGCTTTGTATCATGGGTTAAAAGGCATTTTTATCCATTTACTATTTGTTAGAAGTATCTAATATTATAGACTTTCATGTGGTATAATTTTGTCTTCCAACATTTTAAAATGGTGCACTAAGCACCTTGTGTTAAAAAAACATAATTCTGACTACTAGTTAACTTAAAAATTAAGGAAAAAATCAGAAAATTATAGAAAACTAAATTAAATTACATATGAATACCCTCTAAAAAATTAATATTAATTAGGTAGGTATCTTAAATTACATATAAATAATAGGATATAAATGTTATTTTTTACTTATATAAAAGGCTAAAATGCAATTTTCACCAACCATTATTTGACTGATGTCTGACCATTAAAAAACATTGTACAATCAGTTAAGGCTGCTCAATCCAAGTGCCATTTTTATCGAGGGCTTTCGCGCCAGAGCGCCTTTATTCGTAGCAGGCCGTTGCTTGTTGTGTGACTAATGCCTTTACTAATCTAAAGCCTTTGCGCTAGGGCGCCTTTATTTGTTGCTTGTTCCTTAGACGAGTAGGGGCGCCCTAGCACCATTAGCCCTCTCGCTTTGCCTCCACACATTGCAACAAGCAAAGGATTTAGTGCAAACGCGCTTCCCCCCCTCTCTAGCTTATTATTTAGGGGCGAGATAATGCATAACCTTCACTTACATAGTGAAATATCAAAATCAAAACTATTCGATATCTGATTACCGTTGGTGAGTCAGTTGCTAGCTTTGGCTTAACCAGTAAAAGTAAAGATCATCCTCCATTTCTTTAAAAAAAAAAAATTGAACTCACTAAAGTTTCTCTTCCCCTCCCTCTTCTTCCCTCCATTTCCCTTCAATCATACCATAAAATTATGAAAAAAAAATACTTTAAAATTTATAAAAAAAGGGATCTAAAATTTATAAATAAATACTAAATAAGAAAATCAATATCAATTAAGTTCTTTAAATTGTAAATAAATTTTAATAGAAAAATGTTATTTCTTTCACTTATAAAAGACTAAAATGTCATTTTGAGTTTTTGACAAGTTTATTAAATAACATTTATTAACAGCACACTGATAAATAATTGAAAAAAGTATAATTAACTTTTTTTGGGTTAAGGGTAACATCGCACTGATTTTAAACATTGAAGAGAAATATTATATCAAAAAAATTAACGTAATAGACATTCCTGGACTTATTATAACTTAAAGGAAAAATTGTCCTTTAATCTTTCAAAAATATTACATGTAGTAATAATTAATTATTAAACATAATCAAATATAAAATAACATTTCTTTGAATTTTAGTGGTTAATAATTTTTATCATATGTTACGCATAATTTTATTGCTTTTTATAACATTAAGAGGTAACAAGGGCAGTATTAAAAATTGAATCAGACATTAAAAACTGAATCGGACACTCGGGACCGAAAACTGGTGAATTGGCTAGGGAGTCAGTTTGGATTTCAACATTTAGCATTTTAAATCCACTTTTTAACATTTTAGATGTTAAATGTTGTTTGAGTATTTTTTATGTGAACAAAATAACTTTTTAAAAGTGGGTTAAAATGTGAATTTGGTAACTTAACTTTTTAGTAGATTTGAAATTGCAAATGGGAGTTGGATTGTACCTACTTTTATAAATAATCATGATATCTTTATTATGTTTTAATTTTTTTTCTAATATTAAACTGTATATTTTTTATTCTTATTATTTAACATATTAAATTTTATGTTATTTTAATTTTTTTTTCATAATTTTTAAACATTTTTAATATATTATATTTGTATAACAAAAATTGTCAATTATCAAAAATCAATGTTCTTTTTTATCATTACATGTCTAAAAATATATCTCAAAAGCAAAAATCATCATTAATTCAAATAATTTTTAATTTATCAAATTAAATTTTAAAAAAATTATCCAAACACAAATTTTATTGCATCAATTGATTTTCATTAAATTGAATTTTTCTAAATGAATAGCAAATGGACTTTTAATAAATTAAAAATCAAACACACATTTCATTGACCTGGATTGAATAGATCAACCCAGTTTTGATCCGGTGCAAACTGATGGTTTTGCCCTTTAAAATATTGCATGCATACATTATTAGTTCTTAAACATATTCAAGTATAAAATAATAGGAAAAATATAATTTTTGTCTCTATAATTTAATCATATTTTGTTATTAGTCATTGTACTTTTTTCAATATTTTATATCTCTTTAAATTTTTCCATAAGTAATATTAGTCCCTCTATTTTTAAATATTTTTCAGAGGAACAATGATATGATATGGTAGTAATAGTATTAAATTATCTAATATGTACTTAATAATGTTAAATATTGTGTTGAATGTTAAAATAAGAATGATGTGACAATTTAATCAATTTAACCAATGGTTATGTTTCCCGAAATAATATTTCTTAGAATTTTAATAATTAATAATTTTTATCAAATGTTACGTATAACTGTATTGCTAAAGACAATTTTTTTAATTAAAAACAATAAAAAGCTGTAGAATCAATTGAGATTGCTCAATCCAGGCGCCATTTTTATCCTACATTTTTTTTTTTTTGATAAACTAGCTATCCTGCATTTTTTTTTTTTTTTTGGCTTTGGTACAAGAAGCAACGGTTGTGATCACAAATTGTTTTGCCATTAATGAAGCCGCGGAACTCAAAAAGAATGAAACAAGAAGACTGGATTTATAAACGTTCCAAAAGAACCAACCACAAGATACTCACTATTAGTCACAAGCAGAGAGTCGTATGATTCTATTCACTGTAAGAGTCCAATAAAAAAAACAACATGCATGTGAGACAGTGGTAAACAGAAGGAGCAAAACTTGGTTCTGGAACATGTTTTCTTAATAATGCATAAAATTGAGAGAATAGGGTTGAACGAAAAAAGCATCTTTCCAAAGTGCTAGAGTAAGCTTATCTTTCCATTGCCCTCAACAAGAATAATATCAGAGTAAACCCTGCAAACTCAAATAATGTTATTGTTAAAGAAGTTCATAGTTTTGTAGCAGAATTCTAAATCTCGGGAAAATGTGCAAAGAACAATAATTCAAGCGTGTAATTATGTGTCGTCAAATATCTTTTCATTTATATTGCAAGCATATATGCAGTCATGTGCTGACCACCAATAACAAGAACCATTTTTCCATTTTGTAAATATATTTGTAATGTAATACGTGGGATGCATTACACAAGCATACACCCATAGACAAATGCAAAAAAATTGCATGCTCTTGTTATAAATTGATGAACAGTGTGGTTTTTCTGTATGAAGGACAATTTTTATCTCTTCTCTTCATTTTTGGCTGTTTGAATTTAACACAACCTAAAATTTGTTCAAAGACAGAGTTATAAAAGGGATACAGAGTCCAAGTTAAGTGGCAAATAAGAAACCACACATGGTCTTCATACGAGATATTAGTTCACAACGAGGGTTTGTTTATCTGCATTATGCTTTTGCCTACTTTCCATTACCAGTTATAGAACACGATACGACCAATACCTATCATATCAGTATAAATCAATGAATGCAATATCTATCAATATCTTAAAAAATATTTGACACTGTAAGTATTGAAAATTTATTGATACAAATGATTCAGTTGAAATCCTTCCTAATATGTGTGCTTACCCCTGAACGTTAGAGTGAATTTTAAAATTCAATATATAAATGTTACTGTTAAAGTTGTTAGTTTTATAAGGCGATTCTAGTTCTCAGACAAACATGCAAAGGACAACAGATGTAAGTGTGAACACGAGTTATTATATGTCTGAATCAGAGTGGAGGAAGCTTTACCTATGTATGGCCCTGCGTCTAGAGGAAAGAACAATGGCCTCTAATTTGAATGAAGGGTAAAAGGCAAAATCTGCAAATCCCAAATTGAAACCTTTTTAAGTCTAAAAAGAAATGAAAAAGTCTCAAAAGCCTAACTTTTAGAAAATAACAACAGAAAACCAAAATAAGGAGAAGTTTGCGCAAAGCCAAAAACCACATTTACAAAATAGTGAAATACAAAGCTGTAAGTTATTGCTCGTTCTTCTAGTAAAAGCCATAAATGCCGCAGAAACTCCGAAGCAATGTTAAGATAAAGTGAATATACTGCTATATACTGAATTATCAATGTTTATGAAAAACAGGAGCACATAAAAAGGTAACAAGTTATTTTTTCAAGCTTTTGGGCGAGAACTAACGGCTATGATCACAGTTGTACTCTTGCTGATTGCATTAAAGAGAAAGGGATGTAGGCAAAGGAACAGACGGCAAGAAAATACAATAATTGGGGCAATTGTCCTCCACAAACTGATCAAGTTAGCATATCATTATCAATCCTCATGAATCGGAGCCTTGAACAATCTTAAGCAAAGACCTCAACAGTCCAACATTGTGAGATTCCAATATCTACTGATGTAAACAAGAGAAAGAGAACTATAATCATGCAAGCTGCTCTTTGTTCATGGCCATGAAAGTCACCTAGGGGGGAAAAAAGAACAAGGCTGGTGTTGAAACATTACAAAAGCAATAACAAATCCTCGTGCAGTCCTTCAGAGAGCCAATGAAACTCATCTTTCCATATAGTGTGATGTGATTGGATCGCCCCAAAACATTCTATACATATCTGCACTCCACCACAAGCCCTGTTAGTCCCTAGAAAAATATGGACAAAGAGGCCTCACTAAGCATTACTGTCTGGAATCAAACAAGTATCAATCAAAATATGCAAGAATTGAAGCCTTTCTTGAGTCTCAGAGCACTATATTAGGAGGGGAAAATGGGAAAATGTCTTGAAGTCTAACAATTTAATAACAAATAACAAGAAACTGGAAAATTATTGTCGAAAAAGTTGTACATACCACGGAAACTTTGAGACAGCATTAAAGTTCTACAGTCTAATAAAGTGAACATCAAGGCCCACATTATAGGGCCAAAGTTCATGATTAAAAAAAAAAAAAAAGCAAGTCACAATGTAACAGATAATTTGAAAAATATACCACGGTCGAAAAAAGTAGATATCCAGGAGTGCATTGTATTACCAATGTTTAAGAAAAACAGCAGCGATTAGCAATGTAACAAATAATTGAAAAAATTCACTACAACGGCATAAAGTAAATAGCAAGGTATGAATTGTATCACACATGCTTATGATAAACAGAACCAAGCAACAATGTAAAGTAGATGTCTCGAAGCCTAACTATTGATTAACAAATAACCAAAAAAAAAAAAAAACCCAGAAATGTATTGTGGAAAAATGTAACATGGCAATTGTTTGCTTTGGGGAAAGTTTCCACACTTATGTTAACTGAAGTTTATGCTGTTGATTACATTAAATAGGACGCAAAAAGTGTAAATCCAATGGATGCAAGAAAAAATGTAGGAGCACAAACCTGAGTGGTGGCTTGGACTAGGGAATAGAATGATTGGGGTACTCCTCCTTCACAAACTCAAGTTTGTCTAGCATCGTCAATCCAAACATTAGGGATGTGAGCAATCTTTCCCCTATCAACATAGAGATTTGGGCATTTGATGACAGCAAGATTCCTCAGCTTTGATGGCAAACCCCCCTCTGGAAATGTTTTCAGTTTTGGACAATCCTCTATTCTTAGAATGCTAAGAGACGGAGCAAAAATGCCCATAAGTGATTCTAAATTCCCCAAATGTTCAAAGCAGCAACATTTTAGCCTAGGGGCGGAAAACCCCCGTCCTGAAAATGATACAAATTTTGGGCACTCCTTAATGTTCAAATCTGTAAGATTTGTTGGTTCATTCATGCGCCCCTCTGAAACAGAAATCATTTCAAGATTATCACATCGATCAAGATATAGCCACTGAAGTGCAGGGAATAGATCCAAAGTGAAGTTCCTAAATGACACACAACTTCTTAATATCAGTATATCACGAAGTGAGCCATGACGTTCATGTGATGGGAACTCCAAAGTCGGACACTCACGAATGTCCACCTTTTCAATGCAGGTGTTGGCAATAATGTGCTCAATCTTTTCAACCAAAGTTGCATTCATGCATGGTCCTTGAAAGAAGAGTTCTTTTAGAGTGGAAGGAGTGTATCCCAACTTCACATTCCCACATTTTCTAAGAGTCAAACTTCGAATCATTGGAGCCATCGGAACCAAAGCTACAAGTTCTTGGCAATCTTCAATAATGAGTTCTTCTAAAGAAGGAAGTTGTTCGGGCAACTTCTCTTTCAACTTTGGACAATTCCTTACATGAAGCTCTTTAAGGCATGGGAAGGCTCTAGAAGCTGTTCCGCATTCCCATTCCTCCCAATTCACCATTTCATCAAACTCCAAGATTTCAAGAGACCCAAATGAAACAGCAGAAGATTTACTTCCAAGAAATTCAACCAATAGCTGCAATACAATCCAACCCTCTAATGAACAGTGACTTGAGGGACGGCAAAAGGCCCAATGATGGCAAAACAAGGCAATAGCTGCAACTTTCCAATCGGAGTGAAACAATGTTGGGCAATGTATTAGAAAACCAATCTGGAAATCTTGTACCGCCATAGTGCATGACTGATAGTTTCTTCAAGTTCTGGTGAGGTTGGAGCTTCTCCAGCACGTACCTTTCATTCTGGGAATTATTATGGCAGTCCGGACTCCATTGGAAGCTTAACTCATCAAGGCACTTTTTTTCTTTCAAGTTGACAGTAGAAGCATCCATCCCATGAACTACATTCTGTAGCTCAAAAATGGACAATTCTCCTTGAAGATTGAGTTTGCCTAACTGCTTGATGTTGGACTCACTGTAATTTCCCACATCGAATGATGTCAGACGAACTTGAAGATCTTTCAACTCTCCCAAATTTAGAGGAATCGTTTTCAGCCATGTGCATTGTAAATCCAGAAGCCGCAGACGTTTTAGTTTATTCAAATTGGCAGGCAGCTCATCCAAACGATCACAATTTTTCAACTTCAATGTTTGTAGATTATAGAGAAGACATATAGAGTCGGGGAGTCTCCTTATCCCACTGCCAGATAGATCAAGATACCGTAGATGTATGAGATTTCCTATGGAATCAGGAAGCTCAGTAATTTTGAAGTTGTAACATAGAGACAAAGCTCGCAAGCATTTGCACTTAAACAATTCATCAACCATTGAAGTCCAACCAAAATCTGGATTAAGGAAAAAAGGCAAGAATGACCGCAACTTGCTCGATTTTTGCAAATACTCAGGCTGTCCGAATCCTCCATTTTCATGCGAAAAGGATAAGTGACGTGTCTTTTCTGAAACATTGGGCACCTCTTTAACCTCTTGCCTTAAGCAAAATTCTCCAGAAACAAAATTTGCCAAGTCATTGAGAAGGTCATGCATTACATAATGTGTTCCATCTAGAGCAGATTTCTGAAAGAAAGACCTTGACACAAGATCCTGGAAGCATTCGTTGCCTACTTCTTCAATGGTCTTGTTTGATTTAGAGGCTGGTAAGAAATCTTGAGCCATCCAAAATAAAACTAGCTCCTCCTTTTTGAATTGATAATCCTTGGGAAGTAATGAGCAATAAGCAAAGCAGTGCTTAAGATGGGATGGAAGATAGTGATAGCTCAGCCTCAAAGCAGGAAGAATATTGTTGTGGGAAACTTCCCATATCTCACAGGTCAAAATGCCATTCCATTCCTCCCAAGATAATTTCCTACCCAAAAGACTTCCAACAGTTTTCAAAGCCAAAGGCAAACCTTTGCACTTCTTAACGATCCTCCTACCAATTTCTTCAAGATCAGGACTTGCTTGAGGAGAGTTGTGAAATGCATATTTCACAAATAACAACCAACCAGCTTCATCTGATAATTGATGTGGGTGGTAAATTTCATCTGAACCAGCGACTAAAGCAACATTCTCATTGCGTGAAGTGACAAGAATTCTGCTGCCTGCAACCCTAGAAATCAAAGACTCTAGAAGAGCTTTCCATAATATATAATCATCAGACCAAACATCATCAAGAACAATAAGGAATTTCTTCTTGGTCAACAAATCCTTTAACTTATTTTGTAACATGTTCAGATCTTCAGTTCCATAATCTGATCCTGTAATTGCGATGAAAATTATTCTGATTAATCTTAAAATATCAAAGTCATCAGATACAGATAGCCAAACTTTAAGGTCAAATTCACCCTCCACCCTTTGATCGTTATAGACAAGCTGAGCAAGGGTGGTCTTACCCAAACCACCCATTCCCACGAGAGAGATGACAGAAAAGTAACATTCATTTAGCAACCACTTAATTATGATTTCTTTTTCATCATCCCTGCCATATATTCCAGCTTGATCAATCAGGGAAGTCGTTGGCAACTTTCTGGCAGTTACAACAGCACCACCCTTACCTTCTTTTAGTCCCAGAGCAATCTTTTGGCTCTCAAGAAATTCAAGATTTTCTAGCAGCTGTTTCATCCTTGAATCAAAGTCCTTGTCAAATGAACTAGTACGGAAGAAACGCCGTACCTTGCCAGCAAGACCAGCTTGAGTTTCAGGTTCCATCTCCTGCTTGTAGGCTTCATAGTTAATCTCATCCAAAAGATCGTCAGCATCGAACACGGCATGTTTGAGCTCAGTAAGCCAGGCCATCACATTAGGATCATTGAACTGCTTATCTTCAGCATCATCCATGACAGTGTTGATGGATAAGAGCGTGATTTTCAACTTCTTCAACAGAGACGTATCCAATGTTCTTCCCCGGAAGTAGTCACAGACTTCCAGAGACATCATCTTGTCGAAAGCCACCTGAAGGAAGGAGGACAGAAAAGCTCCGCCAACGATTCCTGGAACCATGGTGGGAAAAGAAATCATAATTAAGTGAGTGGGAGACGACTAGGCACTCAACGGGAAAATCGGTCGATTTTTTTATTTAGGTAAATACAAATTTAAAATTTAACACAAAATATGAAATTTAACTAGGTAAATGAAAAAGATAGTAAAATTGTCACAAGAGAGTAAACTATTACGTTTGACTATAATTATAGAGAAGTAAATAAATGTGTTAATCTTTTTATTTATTAAACATTTAAAAACAACTTTGATATTATTATCTATAATGACTTTTCTTAAGATACAAATTTAACTTTTTGTTCCTTGCACGATCTTTTTGTGACCTTGTAATAAAAAAATAAAAAGATAATGAATGTGTTTTCAAATTTCATAAAATATATTTTCAAAGAGAATTTCCTCTTCTTCAAAAAGTTTAAATTTGATTTCTTATAAAATATATTTTTATTCTAGATATAAACTAGATCAGATTTTCACAATTTAAATTTAATTATTTATTTTTCTTTTAATTTAATATTTTAATAATAATTTTAGGAAAAATACAATTATTGATCCTATAGTTTTATGAGCTTTTGCTTTTCATCTTGTAATTTTTTCAATGTGGGAATGAAAACACTAAAATGCTTAAATTATAGGGACCTAATCTTGTTGATACTATAGAGATTAAAAATACTAAAAAAAACTACAAGATTAAAAGGAAAACCTGATAAAATTATAGAAATTGATTGATTATTGTGTTTTTCCATAATTTTGTGAAAAGATTAAATATAAACAGCCTAAATCTTGATCTCATAGTTAGAATAGAAAGGAGGAAGACAGAGTATGGAGATTAAAATTCTAGTGAAATTGATAACAAGGCTTTTCTTTTTCCTACATATAAAAAAAAAAACTTTTTAGATAGCATGAAAATAAGAAAAAGCCAATGCCTCACGGTACAAAGTTTGGCGCAAAAGAGAAATCAACACATAAAACTACAGAGAGTGGTAAGAGAAAATAGCACTGAATTGGATTGAGAAGAGAAGAAAGAAGAAAACCTGCTTCTACGTGATTTCGTTAGGTTAATATTGCTCTTTCACAAACCCTTTCTTTCTTTTTTCATGATCTTCTTTCTTAACCTCTATTTATAGAGTTTATATCTAGATTTTCAATAAGATAAGATATTTAAAAGACGTGATTAATGAAATCCGGGAAAAGATATTATATATTCTTGTATATTCAGATAAACATTGTATATTGGCGTGTCATTATTTTCTTTAGATATTGTGAGATATAACTTCTTGATTTACATGACTCTCTAAATATCTATTGAATTTTATTCGAGAAATTTATAAATATATCAATATTTTAAAAGGAAAAAAATATGTGATTTCAAATTTTTTTTGCATATTTTTTTATATTTTTGGCGTATTGCCTTCTGCGGACGCATGAACCGATTAAGAGTTTATTAGGAAATTATAAGTCACCCATGAAAGAGAGCCACACTAATAGCAAATTAGTAAAACATTATATATTATTTCAAAAAAAAAAGAAATTATAGTGTGTGTTTTAATTTGTAAAAGATAATGTAATTTTACTCAAGTAATTGTCTTATCTCTCAATTTAAATTATAAACTACTTTATCTTCTTTAACGAAACAAATAAAGATATTTCGCTTATTTTGGAAATTTATTTAGCTTGCTTTTAAAAAAATAATTCGTCGTGACAAAAAGAAAAACAATGAGTAAATAATTTGATTTTTAAATCTCAGTCTATCATTATCCTTTTTCATAATACTTATTTAATTTTGGAAAAATTAATTTGTGGGTCCTTCTAATTTTCATTAATTTTAAATTAAGTCACTATAATTTATTTTATTCTAATTAAATTATTATAATTTAATCGATTAGATATATTATTCCTTAAAAATTAAAATTATTAATGAATAATCAACTTTACCAAAACAAAAGAAAATTTCAAATTTATAAAAAAAATTGGTTTAATACTTTTAGCCTAAATGAAATGAAAATTTTATTTAATACAATATTATTTATAAAACATAACCTAATTATATAAATTTTAAGTTATAAAAATTAAGTAATTAATTTTAAATTATAAAATATTTTAATAAAAAATACAAAATTTCTTAATGTTTTTTTTAAAAGAAAAATGTAAGGAAATCCTCCTCTTCTAGAAATTAATATATTTAATTGATCAAATTATGAGGACTTGATTAAAATAAAATAAATTACAGAAATCCAATTCAAAATTAAAAAACTAAAAGGACTAGAAAATTAATTTTTTTAATTAAAAAATATTTTAATAGATAGAATTTAAAAAAAATTCTGATTATGGAATCTTATGGAAGTGAGTTCTTAAAATATGGTGAATTTTATCGCAAAACTCTTTTTTTGAGGAAAAATGATTTTCTATAAAAAAAAAAGAATAAATGTAGAAAAGCCCTTTTCCACATCAGTTCTTATTATTTCTCCCGGCCTAGTATTACTCATGGTGAGATGGAAAAATCACTGGAAAGAATAAACAATTTTCATTTGTTCACTTCTCAACTTAAAAATTTGGAAAATTTCAATGAATAAATGCCATTATAACACAGACAAATTCAACAAAAACAAATTGATCACACTACAAGATATTATGCTTGTGTTGGATAATGAACAATATTAGTTTATATACTTTTCACGGATACTGGATATTATGCTTGTGTTCTTATTTGTATTATTTATGTTGGATAATTAATGTTGATCAATTAATTTATATTTATAGTATTATTTGTTTGTATAATATGTTTATGTTAAAGGTTTATTATTTTTATTGTAATTGATTCAATAATTCCATATTTTCAGGTTTATTTTTTTAGTTACTTTTTATGTTTTCTCGGGTGTTGATATTCTAGGTAAAATCATTTTAGCAGTTAACTTGAGTATCTCAACCTAAGCATGCGCACCCAACCTGTCTGACGATGAGCATTTTTCGAGCATGGTTAATTTAGACTGAATGGGATCTAGGGTTGGGCCAGCCTGGCTCATGCGCAACCCTAATTCTTAATACTCTCTTTGTTTTAAAAAATATAAGGAGTATTGAAAATAAAACAATTAATGTTACACAAACTCTTGCAAAGTAACTCATATTTTTTATATTAAAAATGTAAACTATTTTTTTATATTTACGGTTAAAAAATATAAAGCATTTGTAGTTTTCAATGCGTGATCAAATGAGCTTTTTTTCCTTCAAAAATACCCTTAATGAATAAACTAGTCCACCATTTACTTTTAAGTGAGATATCATATTAAATAAGGACAAACATTGAAAGATGATATCAATTTTAAAAAAATTAACTAACTTATTGTGATTTGATTAAGTTAAAAATGCATTATAATTTTTAAATTGAAAGAGTACATCTTTTTTCAATTTCGAATGGAGAGATAAAGAGCCCCTTTGTTTAAAATTAAAAAAATAAGTCATTTGTGGGTAGTTTAGAGATTTTATAAAAAGAGATTTATTTTGTAGATATTTTATAAAAAGAAGACATTATTTTATGTTTGTTTACAATAATAAAAATTGATTATCAATTAATTATTTTTAAATTTTATGATATCTTTCTTAAATTTTGTTTTATAAAAATAATTTATTATTATATTATTTTAAAATTTTATGATATTTTGTTTCTTTAAAACACTTTTTCTTATCTACCACATTAAATTATTTTTAAAAGTTACTCAAAGTAACTTCTTAAAATAATTAGAAATATACTTTTTTTCACATTCTAATTATTTTTAAAAGTTTAAACAAATATAATAAAAACTCACAAAATATATTTTTTAAAAAAATAAATGATTTTTCATAAAATAAGCTAAAACAAATGGGGCCAAAAAAATGTTTGTTTCTAAAATTTATGGTATTTATTATGGGTGAAAATAAATTAAAACACTTTTTAAACAATTTGAATGGTATAACTAATTTTGAAATTAGATTAAAAGACTATTATCAATCTACAAATTTTGAAAGCTAAAAGGTTTCAATTTAAGGGAATGTGTATGTGTATCCTATGCTTATGATACAATCTCTCCTAACAAACAAGTCATTCAGTAAAAACATTTGAAAATCTTTATCCTGAATGCTTCAAACAAATTCCATGATAGTACCATCAAATCACAAATCTTCTTGTCTAGCTTACTCAAATATTTATAAAGAGTGCAGAAAGAGTGCAGAGGACACAGAAGTCTCAAAATGATCAATTAATTTAAGTTAGGTCTTAAGTGTTAAATTTTAAAAATTTATAACTCAATTTCTCAATTTTATAATTTTGTTGTAATAAATTTACAACTTGTATTTCAAATTTTAATAGAGAAAATAAATTTTTTATTTTTCAACCATGTTACAATTTAAAAATTAAGTTGTAAATTCATCACAATGTAATTATAAAATTAAAAGATTGAGTTGTAAATTAATTAATTCTTTTAAGACCTCTTTGTCATTCTTCCCAAAAATATTTGACGACATAGTAAGTAATGAAAATTTATTAATATAATTAACAATTCAGTTGAAATCCTTCCAAACATGTTTGCTTACCCTTAGAGAAATTTCCATTGCAAGCCATAGGAAACGAACGTTATTAATTTTAAAAAGCAAGTGCCCCCCTATAAACCAAAGTTGCTTAGATTAAAGAACTTAGATGCTGTGGGATACTCGCGTAGAGGGTAAGTTGAATGATTGTATTAACATTATAGGAAGCTGATCTGATTTTGATGAGCTAATGGATCTTTTGAATTTGTGCCCGTTTGGATTGGAGTTTAACAAAGAAGATTATAGATAACCATGATTTTTAAGTGACATTAATTAAAAGTGATGTGGATAAATCATAAATTTTGCTTTGATTTTTTTAAAAGTGATTATGAGAAAGTTAG